GACATCAACTGGAGCATGCTAACCTTGAGCGCCTGTTTGGAGAGGACCCTCGACCTGAGTGGAGAGCGATTGGTGATTCTGTGGCTACAATAATCGCCCTCCTCATTTTTTATCTCCACCACGAGGTCGAGCGTCGTGGAATTGTTCAGGTAGAGAGTGAACTTGGTCTTTCTGCCCACCATGGCCATCTGCAGCCCCATTCCCCGCGCTAGCACCTGCCGGGGGTAGAGTGTAGGTCAGTGCTCGTCTGTCAGCTGTTTTTATCTTTTTTCTATCGAGTATTTCGAGATGGTGTGGGTTAACGTGTCATCGGTCTCCGGACCTCTCTTGGAATGAGAGACCTAATATTTTTTTAGATGAATATCGGTAATATGAGCAGTATAAAGACTATTGATCTCAAGTAAAAACATTATAATTAAATATGTTGTAGCACCTCGTGAAGGAATTCTAATAATAAATTAGATCATTCATGCGTGAATCTGAGCATTCAAAGGAGTGTCCCGACCTGCAGTGGCGAGGGTGACCTTTTGTCGCAATCAGGCGTGACAGCACGAATACCATGCCGAAACAGGGACACCTTCATTCCGAGCGCGATGGTCGTGACCTGAGTGGACCGAAATCTGACTGTTGGTGGAGAGAGCGCTTTCATGCTCTGCGAAGCCATCTCGCTAGGCCGCTAAAAACCAAAGAAGCGATAGGAAGCTGGGGGACAGAAGCATCCAGAAGCCCAATGTCAATATGAGTACTGTTATCGACATTGCGGAAGCCTAAATCGCAAGGCAAGACGCTGTTGCGTTTGCTAGTCGCCTTCAATGCATAGCTATTACATTGGAAGCTTTCTGTACGTGGATGCCCTGCGGTCTATAGTGGAGCCCCAAAGTATCCCTAACGATCCTATGACTCAGAACTTTTATGATGTGGTCGTCTCAGAGGGAACGGGAATGGCTCGCAAGATACTTTTAGTCTGAGGCGTTTAGGCTTACTGCATAATAGTATTCCATGATACGGGGGATCACGAAACGTGTTTCACGCATATAGCTCTGTATTAAGAGATCCACAATTTCTTTAGTATTTGGCTTTGAAAACAAAATGCATATTACACATAACGTAATCTTGGTATTCTTATTGTTCCACAATTTAGTTTGTGAAATTATGGATATATGCATTTTTTTTTATATTACAGGGAACTTGTCTTGGTACTCCAAGCAAAGCGCAACACACGGTGGAACAAAAATCATTTACAGAGAGTAATGCGAGACTAGTTCCTGCACAAAATTTGCATATTCTTGAATGATCTGTAAGCGAACTTTTAACAAATATTACACCATGCAGCGTGATGGAGTAGCGCAGCGGCATAACTACAAAGCCTGAAAGCAGGCTATATTTTTTTTCCGTTTAATCATTTATTACAAGATATTTCATATTCTTCTTAGTTTATCCAATAACAACGATGCATTATAGTATACAAGCGAGGAAACTGTTGTTTATCGTCAGAGCCGCCCTGAAAGACTAGAAACGTCTATCAATTTAAATTAATACAACCACATCATCATTATTCTTGAAAGAGTTATACAATGATGCATTGTTATATGTCTGATCTCTCTTACTAAAATTACCAGAACACCATGATTTCACTGCAACTAATGACAGGACAACGAATACTCACGCACGGCGTCTGCCTCCAGCACCCACCCAAGGCTCCATCAGCACACACCTTCCCACAGCCACTCACCTGGAGTTCCTATGACGTTTCTCCCATTAGTAACATAATAACCTCCGATCAGGTATAGTGACGCCCTTCAGCAATTCTTAAAAACACGACAACTGCATGTCTCCACGACCCATATTGTAAAGAAACGCCCACGCCCACCTGGCACCCACCTGGTAGTCCCCGAGGGCCTCGACGACAGAATCGTGGGTGACGGCCGGCCCACCGAGCACCTCTCGCTTCAGGGAAGAGTAGCGGAGGTTGCGCAGGAACCTCCTGAGGGTGCGGTGTCCGTCGCAGCCCTGCATCCGCTCCCATGCCAGGTCCTAGGCAAGAGGGAATTAGCTTGGTGAGTGGTAATTTTATTATACTGGATGAGAATTCTTGCTTACGATTCTTACGATATCTATTATATTTTGTGTTGTTATACCGAAAATATTCGTATTTTGACTTTGGAATTATCTACAAAGGATTTTTTTCTGTAAATTGAATTTATTTTCCTTTCTTCAGTCATATATTCTACGCATTTTTTGTCTCCTCAGCCATCCAGTCGACATCTATGATTTTGTTGCTACAGGTAACAGTGCCTGACATTTATCAGACCACTTTGAAATGAATATGAGCAGCACATTAGCAGTACTTAATTTGATCTTGTAATTATATTTGCCGTAACCTAGTTTAGTTATGAAACGCAGACTCGTAGAGTTTATTCGTATGACCCAGATGTTAAACTTAGAGCTACTGAATTTCCTATTTAAAAACACTACTTAAATTACTCACAAAAATCCTTTA